TAAGAGGACGCAGACGACAGAGACTTTGTCTGGCCTGTCCTCAATTTCTCTGCTTTTGTGACGCCAAATTTCTGAAGTAAAAAATTCTCTTACCTGCTTTCCATTGACCTTAATGAGTTCCTTTTGCCGATCGCAAATAAAAGTGAATCCATCTTTGTCGTAATAGACAATATCACCTGAGAATATTTCTTCTCTGAGGCTCTCTTTTTTTCTCAAAAATCGTTTTAATGCTTACCTGTACGCATAAATCCATCACTATCATAGGTTTGCTTTGTCTGTTCGGATTTTCTTCCAGTAGCCCAACATCACCTGTGGGCCGCTTATCCACATCTCGCCGCTCTCGAACGGTCCACAAAGTCGTCCATCCTCCGCGATCACCTCAAAAATCGGTATTTTTAGGATACCGTTCACGACATCTATACAGCTGGAGAGGCGTGTCTACGGACCTCAGCTGTGGATGTCGCGATGGCTGTTTGTCTGAGGACAGTTGTCAATCTAGGCAGAGAAGGATCCGAGATGTTATTTTGTGCTGTCTGGGCCCTCTTATGTCTCGCATTGTCTGCCTCTCTGCCTGAACCGGCAACTGTCTACCGTCGCAGCATTCACGACTTAGTCCGTGGACACTCCTACCACGAGTGTAAGGAAGAAAAATTATTCTAACCTTCATCCTCGTGCCCGGCATCAGTTTACCCACACTTCCTTCGGGCGTGTCCAGGGAAGCGATGTGTGACACGACAGACAACTCGGTCATACCGTACCCTTGTCGAAGTATGGCGCCTGGTAAACGCTTCAGAAGACGATGAACGATGGCCGCTCCCAGAGGTGCTGCACCGCAGGCAATGAACCTTAGTGAGGAGAGATCATAGTCGTCGAGCAGCGGTGAGTCAGCCATCATCAGCGCCATTGGTGGCACCACAGCCACCGATGTTAGCTGTAATCATATAGGAATTGGAGTGGTCTTGCTCAGATTAGCGGCAGTTTTGTTGGTCGCGTTTGGAGTCCAAAATTAGGTTTTTCCTGAATTTTTATGACAGGGGGCGGAGACAGTCAACCGCATTTCCCACTGGTGCGCCTTTCCTAAGATGGTGAAAAGGGAGAAAACACCAGCGAGAAGGCACAATGGTGGGACATTTTCTGCCTCCTTTTTTGTTTAAAGTGCGTAGTTTTTAGTTCCGCTAGTGGTAGGGATAGGGTCTCGCGAGGTCTGCAGAAGATGCTAGTGAACGAGCGCCTAATTGACCTAGCTATGGGCAGAAGTGCGGCAAGGAGACTGTGGAAGTTGGGTTAGGGGCGTTACTTCGGAGAGGCAGCAAAATGGTCATTTCAAGTAACGTACGCAGCATTCGCACCAGGACCCAATCCACTCAGCGTGGCAACGCTGCAACACGTCGACTCTCTCTACATCTCTCAAGTTGATTAACTCTCTCTGTGTCTGCGTCTCTTGAGTCGACTTCTGGGAAGCATTCTGCCAGCGCGTTGATGCCGCGACTCGGAGGTAACGCTCTGCAACAATGGCCGTTTTTTAATGGTTGTGGTCCTCCCACGAGGATATTGTCCTCTTAGGATCTTCTACCAAAGAGGTTTAGCCCCAGAATGCCGAACAGTGTCGGCGTGGCTTATTGCCACCACTTCCACCCCGCCACCAGGATACGTCCTGCCATTGGGGAACATTTTTGCAAAATATGACCCCCCCCCACCCCCCTAGAGCTTCTCTCTGTGGTACGACCCACCTTCCTTA